TATGATGCGGACAATACCTACAACTTGTGATATAACTCCGAGTAATTATTGCTGCTCCGTTTACACGTTATACTGCTATCTGCCATGTAGTTATTATCCTGTAGGCTCTACACTGCTCTATATTTGTTTGAAAAATCAGCAAACTAGACGTTTATTTAATTTTTTTAACACAACTAGCATATCCGATATTCTACTTATTTTGGTAATTACTTATTATCACAGGGTATTTTATGTATGGGTATGTAAACTAAATATTACAAAGACAACGAAATATTTTAAAATTTCAGTGACATTGTTTTATCTTTAGACTGCATAAACGTATTAAAACAGGTTTGAATACCAAATTCTCGTTGGTGGAGCCAGTAAAGATTATTATTAAATAATAATCAAAATATTTAAACCATATTGAGTTTACAACTTCTGCATAAAAATGTACAAAAATACTTACATTTCCATAATTGGACAAATAAGTGTTGCTATAAAAATAAATAAACTCAAATCGAAGACGCCATTGGGAATCTGCGGTATTTGCGTTTATGATTATAAAATATACGTAGGTACATAATGAATGCTAAATCCATATTCACCAAATGAGCAGAGTTAAAATCCTTATTAAATTTTCTGCACAATTATCTCTTTCGTAAGAACTTTCTACAAACTATTAGAAATCAAATAAGAAAAGTTTAATGAAATCGGTTAAGAACGACGAATCGGTCAAGTTTTGGCATACTAAAGAAAATAGGGATTTATTTGTATACGTGTATATTCTTTAGATTTTATGTCGATCTAGTTAGATATGTAACGTAATACCTATACCTAAAGGTATTAAAGTTTAGTTTGCGGAGCGACCAGAGGAAAAGTGTAGAAGCTCTGCCAACTATGCTGTACTAAAACTTCTTGAATTAGTAGTAGATCACTTCGCTAGGCTCACTCTATCTGATTATGTGAATATTTTGGGCACTAGACTATTGTAAAAATAAAGTTCTTTTACAATAGGTAGTCATCAAGTATTTAGATTTATATAAAGACTGTCTGTTGTCAAAATAAAGAAAATAAGAAACCTTATCTGTCTTACATACTTCTGCCATCAATCACTAATGGCAACGCATAAGAAGCGCCATAGTAGATAAGTACATCACTCGTTGTATCTATAATTCTATATACATTATTCTGTTTCTAGTGATGTATGTATTGGTGATAATTATATAGGTACCTACTATTATCTGTTATCCACCAAGAGTGTAATTATACTAGGTTTCAGTGTATTTTAATTGAATTTCAGCTCTTACATACTAGTTATTTATTTTACTTATAGCTATAAATATTATAATAGTTGTTTTCGTTGCTCACCATTTGTTAAATTTAATTTGGTATTAAAAATATTCCAAATGCTAAAAAATATACCTACTAGCCTTAAAATGTTTTCCTAATATCCTTATTTATGATAAAATTAGGTACTTATATGTCTGGCAACGTAAACACGGTCAGAATATATGCCGTAACTTACACTTAATCCGTATTGGCTTTCAACATTTAATGTAGTACTGACGGGGATAAAGGCAACAAAACCGAAGCATAACAAAATGATCCGTGTTAAGGTTTTATTAAACTTTTCAAGATAAATAAGAATGGGACTTAGGCAACACTACACCATATCTGGATGAGACGACTATTGAATATTAACACAAGAAATCCACTGGTATTATACCGGGGCTAACATACCCATAACACTGTACAATAACACTAAACCACTGATTTCATTATGGCTGCATATTTACCTACTTTATATGTTCGCGCCGACTTACAAAGTAACCTTAATGTCATTGCTTAAGATATCAGAATAAAAATACATTTGTAGGTGTAAAATATTGACGATATTTTATCGTAATTAACGCTTGTATTGCTCAAGCGCAGATTTAGCTAAAGGGAAGCGGCAAGAGGACTACGATCAGCCAATAGCAGCAAGTTCCACATTTAAACTTGTAATGCGTCCAATTTAAATGGAACCATGGATGTTTCCGTATCATTTGGCGTAGAGGACTTGTTAAAGAAGGGAGAAGGGTCGTGTAGTAATGGCGGGATAATATAAAGTTGTTTCGGTTCAGTTCATTTATATGCTAATCAGTGAGGAGGCGGCTTGCTCCAGAATAACCGGTAGGTAGAAATGGTAGAGCTGCGTAAGGGCATTGCTTTGTATATGTCATGCTAACTTGATCTACAAAGTGTACTTTGTTGATATATAAAAAAATGTACAATATATATATCACTACCACAAAATATGCGAATACAAGACAGTAAATATTAAAAATAATATTCTGTACTGAGTAGCCAGCTGGTGTGGTAAATGCCTAGTAATCCTTCCCTTATTTATATCAATAAGCTTATTATGATATGGGATTGAATAAAAATAATAGAATTTTAAAATTACCTACCTACATAGTTAACTATATTCAGACCCACCTGATAGATATAACCTTATATCTATTTATTTTATATTATCATCGTCGCAATGTGAGTAAAATTAAAGTTTCATAGAATATATAACGATAGCCATACTTCCCCCAATTTATATCATTGAAATAAAGTAACAACGAACGCATTATTAGATCATGGCAGAAATATTAGTGGGTGGTCTAAGACTGTGTCGCGAGTACTAGGTACCTATATATTGTTAGTTACAGATACAAAATTATACTTGGACTCTGTAGGTGTCTATTGCTATATAAATACATTAAACTATAAAATTCAGTTAGGCTCTAGATGGCGCTATATCTGCAATGTACACTGTAATAACGGTAGAGACAAACTTTAACAATTTGAATGTATTTTAGAATTATTTCTTTTAGAATAAACAAGAATGAAATATTTTCTATAATTCTACCAATGATTCAATCACATACAAATTTTTTTGTAACTAATACTCACTTTTAAAACAGCAGCATGGTGTTTCGAAGACTTCCTCCACTAGATGTCGCTATATAACGATGGATATTAAAAGGACTGTCGTATATTATATAAATTAAAATATTCCTAGCGAACTTGTCTATTACCTGTTATTTTACACGGTGTAAAATAATATATTTTTTATATAAATAGAGCATTCGTGTGAGATACATAGATATTACGTAATTCTACATTAAACCAACTGATCAACTTAACTAACTAGCAAGCTATTTAGGTAATTTTTTTTATGAATTTTCCCTTAAAAACGACTGTAACTATATTCAGACTTATAATAAAATATTAACTATGCTAAGCACTACAGTCCACCTATAATAATCCCGTTTGTAATTAATTAAAGTATTGTTAGGTTTAATTTTCTTTTTCAGATTAGTAATTATTTTCATTCTAGACAATCCAACAGTTGTACCTATAGTATTTTTCCAAATTTGTCCATACCTACCTAAATGTTCAACCCTGGTCTTACCTAGGTACGTAGGTAAGACCAGGGTTGAACATTTAGGTTAAATTTTGTGGTACTTACTCAATATAGGTACTTACGAGTAATTTGACTAGTTACTGATAGGTATAAGTGTATTGTATTGTCCAGCCTACGTTATGAGTTACCATTCCTGAAGACCTTAGACTGCATGTTTAGTTATGCTTCCAGACCCACTAATTTTACTGCCATATCTCACCCTTCCTCACAGATGTCGACAACACGTAGCTTATATCTAGATGTCGAAGACTAGTCAATCTCGGTATAGATTATTTTATTAAGTATTTAATTCAATTAGTAACTACGTTTGTGGTTTGTTTCTCTTAGCTGATATAGATAATCAGTTGAACATTGATATCTCATCCGAGGCAGACGTTTCATGTTTACCCACACGAAACAGTACAAAAGTAATAAATGCAGTGTACATGAAACCATCAATTATTTATTCAGATGAATTTGGCATAGATAAATATTTAAAATTATTAAAAATTTGACGTTCATAAGCGGCTAAAATGTATTAAATATTTTTGAATTTTGAATTTTTAATAATACTTTATGCAGATGAAAATTTATCGAAAATTAATCTACCACGTTATCTAATCACGAAACAATCCATTAAAGTGCAACTTAGTAATATAATTGTCTCTGTTCATTGAAACGGTTAATATACTACTTATATACTATAGAACAATTAGCTATCACCTAGCTATCTGGATCCTTTGTGTTATTATCTGTGTTTAGGTATCATCTATAAGTAACGATCCTGTCTATAACAAGATTTGATAGTGATATCTATAAAGAGTCTTTATACTTACTAGAACCACAGATAACATAATATTTGCTAGAACTTAACTTATTCGGTTTTTTGTAGGGAAGGCGTTTTTAGTTAGTTTTTAATGCAGGTTTAATTTAGTTGTCTGCAATTTTGCATAAAACGGTTTGTTGTATCTAATATCCTGTCTACAATATAACTAATACAAATGTGCCTGTCATGTATTGAGTTCATCACAGTGCCAATAGGTGTCAATGTCTCGGACTATCTCAGTTGAAATAATAGTCGTGAAGATATTTTAGACAGCATATAGTGACGGACTAAAGCTACAATATGGTAATTCTTTTCATCCAAGGAGGATAAAAGTGATTATTAGTGATGTAGACTAGTATACGTACTAATGTTACTAGTGACCTCGCTTCATATTTATCCATTCACAACTCTTTACTATCCAATGGGTGTCATAAGGGGTGACAAAGGTAGCATATTACATACTTATTGGTGCTAGAGGGGAAACCTTGAAACTAAAGCGCCTAGCTAGTACAGTAGGTAAAAAAAATTTTCTTGAGAACCTTAGTCAAACAGTGTGCTGACAAGGAAGTTTTAAAAAAAAATCTGACTGTTCGTAGTAATCAGATAAAATATTTCAGCTGAACCCTTTTGAGTATCTACTATTAATATAGGTACTGTTAAAATTTAATTAATTTATCCACTGGTTAGTATTAAACATTGCTACTACACCTGTAAAGATAAAATTTTGTCGTAAAGAAAAAATAACCAAGACACGACGAAGTATTTAATTTTTTCCCTTTCATACATTCTTTTCTAAATTCGTCATAAAATTGTTGAGAGCACATTCATTTTTAATTATACATTATTACTTAACAAAACCTCACATTTTCTGGCGTGATTAACTACTTTAATTTATCTGTACAATAATAATTACGAGACCTTTAATTATTACAATATAGTATAGATAAGTATGTTTCTATTCATAATGTCTACTGAAATCGTTGAATATACAGTCCGTATTATTAAACTACAATATGTGAAGGCTTCATCTGAAAAGCAATCAGCCTGTATCATTGGAGAGTGACATGTAAACCAATCGATAAATATGTTAACTAAGTACTTGGCCAATATCAAAAGGTGATAAATTTTAATCTAATTCATGAGCATTTTCATTTCAGTTGCTTTTCAGATAAAGTTCGTAAAGTAAAACAGACAGGATTTTTCTTTTTCGGCTTATTAGGTAGAGAAGGATTGTTGCTAATGTAACAATCATATAAACTTAGTCATCGAGTCATCGTCTAGTAGCAAGCGCACGGCAATATGTGCCTCGCTTAAATTGAAATTCGGTCACCTAGACGAGGTCGCCATTTTGTACAAAAACATCTAATTATTCACTATAAAATTACGGGACAATACAGATTTAATGAATTAGATCCAAGTGAACTACTAAGTTTACAAGAAAACATTTATTACATAGATATAATACGATAAAATAGGGAAGATGAAGGTAGCTAAATAGTACAAAGATGATAATCCTAAAACTGGGTTGAATCAAATTAGATTCTAAGGTCAAATAATAAAATTTGTAAGAATTTGTACACGATGTACATACTTATAGTACAATACACAATATATTCGATGTAGACAAAATACAATTATTTTAAAATTTCAGTTATATGCTCGTGTATAAATAAATAATAAAATATTCAACTAAAACAAAAATAATAAAAGTAATAAGAGAGGCTTAAGCGAACAGTACAATGAACCAATAGGGGACAATATTAATGCACTTGCCCATAATACCTAATTGATTATAACATCAACTTCAATATTTAAAAAATGACATAACAGTAACTTAATGTATAATTCTACTGGAACCAAGTTAAAGCTTTGTCAGAAATCCATAATTTAAATAACAAAATTTACGAATTATCAGATAAGAAATTAAACAGTAATAAATATTTGATCATAATGCGATTGCCATGTTTGCATACTTTATTGTAATATATTCGATATTTAGAGATGTGATGCGTCGTTGGTAGCGAATATAAACTATATAGTACTTACATACAATGGCTGCTACCTATCAATGTCGCACGAATATCATATCACTATGATAGACATCTATAAAACTGCCACCGAAGCAACCCGAGTAATTCAACAATTTGGTAACGAAAATAAAATGTTAACTGATTATGACTAATCACCCTCTGAACAGCTTTACGAATACAACAATAAGCAGTCTCACAAAATATTTTACAAAATTTATTTCAATAAACTATCTAGAAACTATAATCATGGGTGACGTCTTTAATGTTCGTATTTCGTACTTAAATAAACAAATACATCAGCGCTATACTAGATATTATTAATATCAGGAATCGTTATCTATTCATGTACTTAGTCTCGTTAAAATTACAGAACATTATTTCGTAATTAATACTATACACAAATCGACAACACAATAATTATCTTACTATGAGATTCTCTGGGACTGGAGCGCTCCTGGCGCTTGCTCAGCGTCCACATTACGTACGAAACGGCATAGCGTGAGTATAACGTTCCTTTAGTCTATCCGGTAACAAACATTGGACGTAAACGAATCCTCTCGTAACCTTCAAATATTAAGTACGACCACTTTCACACTCAAGTCCTATGGAACTTTCCTTCCCGGTTCGTCTAATTTAGCTGGCTATACCGTGATGAAGGGGATAAGTCCCAGAGAAAGGCGCGGGTCACTGATGGTGTTTGGCCGGTGCGGCGTGGTGCAGCGCGACATGGTGCGGTGCATGATGGTGTCCGCCGTGGTGGTTATGGTTGTTAGCATTTGAATTGTTGTTGTTATTCTGCGCCGCCTGCGCCGCTTGTCGCTGCGAGTTCTTCTTGTTTTTCATCCGTCTATTCTGAAACCATATTTTCACTTGCCTCTCGGTTAGGTTCAAATTCCGCGCCAGCTCCCATCTCTTCTGTTTCGATACATAAGCGTTGAAAAGAAACTCTTTTTCTAGTTCGAGAGTTTGGAACTTAGAATAGGGTTTACGTTTTTTGCGGACCGTCACTTGACCAGTCCAGTCGAGGGGGTTTGAGGATCCGCATCCAACACCGACGCCCACAGACATCGATAGAGAACCTGCGCAAATAAAAAACATTTCAGAAAAACAAAAGCTTAATGATAATTCTAAGATTGCAGTCGACATACGTTCATTTCCTCTTACATGAAATAATTGAATTGATTCGGTATCTAATTCGTAAATATCTATTGGCACGACTACACTGCTCTATAACGCAAACAAATGGTTCTAGGAATGTCTGTGAGGAAATCATTATCTATCAACGAAATTTTTAGATTCATATAGGATATGATGATACCTAGTGTCTGGAACGCTTCTGCCTTTGTTTATTCGTCCGGCGTTCATTGTAACTGCAACGTGCATTCCGGTAGACGATCATACGTTACGTTTTAAACTAGGCATTGCCATGTTGTGTTCATAAAAACAATTGGAAGCGAGCGTAGCGTACGCCGCGTTAGAAGTTTCACACAGAGGGATTTATGTGAGCGGTCCTTTTGATGAGATCATCGTCAATAAACTTTGTATGCGAGCGGGCGACCTTCTCGTTATTCGATGCGTGCAGCACACTGCACCATTTCCTATTATACAAAATGGTACTAACATGAACATTGCGAAATAGATGCCTCATTGTCTAGCAGATGAATGCGCGTGTCGTAAGCGAGACTTACATCTCCAAAGGAACCGACTAACACACATACACGACGACTTATGTCAGTCAGCTCAGTGACTTAAATAATTTATTTAATATATATAATTATACTTGTCTGGTTGGGCAGTATATTTTGTGCAATAACTTACTGTGACAGATTTTTTAATTTTGCTACTTTCAATTAAATACTTTTACTCTACTAACTCTTTCTTACTCGGGTATTAGCGATCATTCAATAATTTCTACAGGAATTAAATATTTTAGCATTTGATATATATCTGCTTCAGATAAACAAAATAATAATTATAGTATTATAGAAAATTGATTCAAATCTAAACTTCGGAATTTACATGCGAATGGGAGATTAGTTACAATAGATGTTTAAGAGAAATAAATTATCCACCCTACCTACAGTTTTAGAATCTGCGGTGATATCAAACTTAGATTTGTTATTTCCTTACCGAAATGTACTGAACAATAACTAATTGTTTCTTCATTTCTTACACAATTACAAATTGTTTAAACTTTAATTGTTTAAACAATAACTAATTGTTTATACTTGATAAGAAGTATTTATTTATAGAATTGAAATCCTATATAAAATCTTTAATTGTTCTATGTTTACATTTCACTCGAATAGTTTGTGACAGTAGTTCCGCCCACTCCATTTTCGTCTCCATTAAAGAAGTGGCTATACTAAGCTTCATAAAACTGCCCTACCGCAAGTCGCCTACGCTTATAGTAGATATTTTTTATATGCAACTCGAATATTTTACAAATGACGTGAACCTACAAAGTAGTAGTTAATTCATGCATGGGTAAGTATAACAAAACAAATTAGGAAATTTCAAAATACATACTAAATTAATAGATATTGTTTTCAGTAATCACGTAATATAACTATTTGTAATGGATTCATTGTTTTACAAAGAATACTAGTATTTTTTTAATAATTGTACCTATATATCTTCGAATATGATAAAGAAAACAGACAAAAATATTATAAAGAAAACACTGGTTACAATTATTCATATATCTACATATCGAGTCTAGTTGGCTAGTAAATTCCTGGAAAGAATCGGCGATTGTTTAAAGAGAACATAATGACAACTCGAGTTGTCAATTATGAGGGGATAGGTAGCGATCATTGGCTATAAAAGTGCGGGTTCTTCGCCCATAAAAGTTTACCTACCCGACCGCGGGCATTGTCTTCTGTGTGTACCAACATTACTTTGCTGGCTGACAACCATCGACCAATCGTAACTGAAAGGGATAAGGTTGAAAATCAACAACTATTGCTTGTTGTCAATTGCCAGCCAGCAATGATTGAATGTAATTTGAAAGTCCTGAGTTGTTCTAGTACCTACAAGCAATCTGATTTACAGTTTGTTAAATAAGTATAGTTAGGTATATTAGAAATGAACACTTATCTAACTGAAGTTGTCAATTCAAAACGAAGCTCATGTACATGCTCATGTCACTAACGGGTCGTCCTAGCACGCTCTTACTATGGGCCCGTTCCACCAACCGTTTACTAAGCCGTAAATGCACAAATCAAAGTCAATGTCAACCTCAGGTGGGTCATAAACACACAATCATAAAGTGACGTGAACACTCGTATAACTTTTTCAACAATTGTTTCCTTTTAATGGGCCATTATATGCGCGTTTTACGCAAAATTATGTCAAGTTACACCTCTGCCGTAACAGAGGCACGATAAACCCATCTTTATGGTTAGCCGGCGATCGAAAGTGAACTAGCGACGAGCGTTTATGAATGGAGCCTTTTTATTGCTCTCATATTGACATGGCGGTTGTAGTTTCGTAATTACTACTTACTAGCGCGATTTGGGGAAGAAACCAGTACTATTGCATGTCAGTGACGTCGTCGCGGTTTTATGATTCATAAAAGTGATATGTATCTACTACAGGCGTGGAATGAATCGCTCGGGTACACTCCGAAGCACTCCGCTGCCGCTACGTAGACTCCTGTCTAGTTTTTTATCGTCTCATCAGTCTATAATGTGTTTATTGTAGCAATATTTGGTTTATTGCTACTACTCAAAGATCAGTTTATTGTCTTAACGCTCAGGTATCGTGTTTATTTATTAGTTATACATTTTTATTGGCGCTTTATTTTACGTAAACTTTAATTTATTGTCGGTTGTAGAACGCCGTTTTACATAGCCTATAAAAAGGTGCTTACGGTACGTTTTTAAACATTTGTAGCACGTGTTTCATTCATTCATCAAATTTATGGTGGCCTGTGGGAAAATGTTTTGATTTGGATGTTCAGTCGCTTTCTATACAGGGCTTAAGGGCTTTCGTGCGAACGTTATGCCAATGTTTATTTATCTCATGAACGATTTTATTGACATGTTTCGTATAGCGGCCAAGGATTCAATATTTTGGCGTAAGCAGGATAGTATATAGTAGCTGGTCATGTAGTTTTAGTGGTAGTATCTACATATCGTATGTAGGTACCTATTTATAATTTTATTATCAATTAATTATAACTTATTAGTTTGAGAAATAGGCAATCTGCATATACATGGGTATATTATATCTGCACATGTTTAGAAGTCTTTTCTATCATTTATATAAATTTACTAGCTAAAGGCTTAAACTCGTTAAATAAATATTTCATACCTATACTGTTACTAGAGCGGGAACACAACTACTATTTTAATAAAAACCAAATACTAGTAAAAATGTGTATTCTTGCTTGTCTACCATTCTTTTTATAAACTTTATATTTTTTATATCTATTTTTTATAGGTCACTTTTGACTAACTAATATTGTTTTGTTAATTCTCGCTGTAAGCCCTTTTGTGAAGAATACACATTTTTACTAGTATATGGTTTTTATTAAAATAGTAGTTGTGTTCCCGCTCCAGTAACATATACTTTGTCATCAACATCTTGTTCATGCTACTGAACGCGATTTTCAGCCTTATAGTTCTAGTTATAAGTAATTAATGTCAATTTATAGGTACATTTTTAATTATGTACTTTGACAAGTCTACATATTTAAATTAAATATTATTATTATTATCAATCATTTAGAATAGTATCTACATACAAACGGCTATAGAACCTAATAAAAAATAAAAGTAGATATCTAATTATACAAATCCAATAATGACGCAGTATGCGTAATCGTGCCAATCAAATGAAACCAAACTTTCAGAGAAAATATGCAGTCAGACAGTGCAGAAGAGTGCATCAAGTGCCGATAATACAGCAACACCCTCGCACCCACACTTGCACGGTTGTTAGTGTGCGCGCAACGCACACACTTACAAACACGGTTGCTGTGTGCTGCTGCCGCCCAACGCCATCTAGCGATAAGAAGGCATCAACTACGAGGGTCAAGGCTGGTAAACTCTTAATAAATTATTTACAATTAAACTTATCTACGTTTAGATTGTCATAAAAAAGCTTAATTCTAAAATATAAATATGACCAACAAATGAATATTTCCCGGACATGGCTCTCAAATTAGCTTAGGAAAGTACAGAATTTTCTAGCTTACATTGTATTTGTTTATGAATTCAGGGAATGTTTTGCTCAATTCAATGTTTGATTCTAGAGCACACGATAAGTTCAGTTAAAGATTACAAACAGAAAGTGTACTGGCCGGATGTTGAAAAATGTATTGGGTGCCACGTTCTGGGAATATTCCAAAATATCTATGAGTAATTAATTAATGTTACTGACCCGGCAGAGATCCTGGAGGTGGGTAAGGCGCGCTGGATACAGTCTCTGGCGCGTAATTTCGTAGGCCATATGCATCGTGGGAGAAACCAGACGCCTCGGAGACTGCCGTCCGTCGTTCTTCGCCACTGACGTATGGTAAAGGCTGGTCACCTCTCGGTGCTCCATATGGGTAATTCCAGCAAGGTTGCGAGAAGCCCTGGTGGCAACCACCATCTGCATAGGGTTTGTACTCGCCGCTACTCGTTGGCCAGAAAGGTAACGTTGACTTGCGTTCTCTTTCCACAGGTAAGTTATAGTAGGTAGGACCGGTGGGGTACTGCTCAAAGGAGCCTGGCGCGTCAGGTGGGTATCCCCAGGGCTGCTGCGCGTGACGTATAACGCCCGGTTCCGGCTCATACCGCTTAGCAGGAATGTGCAGTGGCGGTTGTGGGGGGTTGGAGCCGACAGAGGCCGGCGAAGCGCTGGATGCGGAGGGCGGTGCAGCTGCCGGTGCGGCCGGTGGGGAGCCCCCGGGTGGCGACGCGTGCGCTTCCTCGTACAGCGCGCCGCCGACCCCGTTCATCATGGTCCACCAGGCCGGCCCGGCGGAGTGGCCGGATGCGGGCGCTGGCGACGCGGCAGCCGCGTCGCAGGGCGCGCCGAGGCCCCCGACATGGTTGTCAGGGTACAGGGTGGCGGCCGGGCAAGCCACGGGGGAGCGGGAAAATCAGCAGCCGGTTCACGCGCGCCGCGGGCACATCGCACCGCGCACACACGCGTCCCACACACGGCAGCGGCACATGAAAATTAAAACGCGATTCCCGATTTAGCTAGCCGACCGGACGGGAGTTGACCACAACGTTAATGTTCAAAAAGTACAAGTTGGATTAAAAAAGTTTTAGAATTTATTTGAAATTTTTCAGAATATCCATCGAAAAGTCACTGATATGATAAGGAGTCTCGTAACCTCGAAAAATTGTCTATTTAATTAAAAAACTGTCTCTATTTGATCGCAAAGTAATGTAAATTATCCACAGACTACTTTAAATTGGTTCTATTGGAAAGAAGTATTTTTTTCCGTGACGCAACAGTTTTCTTATTTTGTTAAATCGTCTGGCTAACGTTGCGATGTTGTCGCGAGCGTGTCGTGTTTATAGCGGAGAGAGAGGAATACGCGGAGCGCGCAATCGGCAGCGCGGTCGAGCGCGGAGTGGCGGTGGCGACGTGTGGTGGCAGCGCACACAGGCGCGCGCCTTCGGAGCCCCATCTAGTGGCGGGCGGCAGAACCCGCGCACTCGCCGCACCGGCTCACATCAGCCCATAGGCGGGCGGCTGCTGCGCCCAAAGCGATTGCCAGCGCTCTATTTATTTTAGTTTGAATATAGTAGAGTTCTTGCACAGACAATGGAGATATTCAATACACGCCTTAAAAGCATTTTTGTAACAAACTTTAAAATATTCAACAATGTCTAATATACATAACATAACAGTCCGCATTTTAATTATGTACTAAATATCAATAAAGAAATAAGACACTTTATCTAATTTATTAAAATGTATGCGGTAGTGATAATTTTAATCATAATTAATAATTTATAGATTATATAGAAAAATTAATAAATTGAGAAAGAAAATTTAATAATATTGATATCTATGTTATTTATACAATTAAAATTAGTGAGGATTTTTTTTGCGAGATTAAATTTGGTTATTATGTACTTACTTATTACTTGTAAATCTATATATAAAGGTATATGCTTCTATATATGTATTATAGTAGCTATAGCATATATTAAATATATAGCATATATTCTGGTACCTAATATCTTCTATCTAGCTAAGATATATCAAAGATCTGCATCGCAAGGGTTGTCGAAAGCTCGAAGCGCGGGTGCGTAGTAAAGCGATTAATGGAGGCAAAATAGCCATAAACTGCCGTTTAACCAAACTGCAAGCGTCATTCGGCCATCGCCGACTTGCCACCAATAAAAAACGCGAGACTTTATGACGGCAACTCACTCACATTTTATTGTGAGTATAAACTTAATTTTATCGTCTGTTAATTTCACCACAAATAATACTAGGTACTAGATTAAATTATATAATTTTATTTTATTGCCATTGTCAATGACAAGGCCGTGGACTAATGCCTTACATTTCGTATTATCTTGATTTAGAATTAGTAAATCAATTTATTTCGTTTTGCTTTGGTATGAGAGAAATATTTGTAAGTATTAGTACTCGTGTTTCATAAATTTATCTGTAATTACTGTAGGGCCGTGCCAATCCTACTACCGAGTACATGACACACATTCAAGTAACAGTACTGAAAAACAGCAAGGCATCTCTCAAGGGTAAGTATGGGTTACCCTTCCTTTCATACACTCACCGACACAAAGCGAACAATAAGTCGTACAACCAATAAATTTGCTTACAAAATTTCACACCTATACACACGTTGTTTACACAAGACACGGCCATAAAATATATCAGGTGAACAAAAGAAAAACATACATGACCCGGTAAGTAATGTAATCAGTTGTTACCACGTTCATTCCTATTATGTTAAATAGCAACCGAATTGTCAAACTAAAATACGCGATTCGGCGATAATTTCCCACACTACACTCAGGTAATTACTACAGATCAATTGTGTGAATATGTGTTTAGTGCCATCAAAAGGTTCATACAGCGTAATAAAATAAATTTGTCATAGTTATGGACGTGTCAACAAAACTAATACCTTGGATTAGGTTACCAATAGAAAATTATTTTCAACACAGGAGTTTCTATTTGAAATTGCATTGCATGTAGAATATATAATAATATTGTTTAAGTATATTTTATGGGATAAATTATACTCTTTGCATCGATAAGTTACATTGTAATATGCATATTAGCGACGTGTAGAATATGAATTAATATACTAGTAATTTTGTAATTTAATATAGGAATACAGTAAACCCTTTGATAGCTTTCAAATAAATTTGAAATATAAATACCTACCTATACTCTGCATATAATTTTTTCCATTAATTAATATACAAATTTATATTAAAAGTAGAAAGTTAGACTCAATTTAATCTAAGTCACTGAGGAAATAAAATATGTTAAAAAATTCAACTTCAGCTACATTGGAAATCAATCGAATATATTAGTCACATATCAATACGTTTAATTAAATATAATGTTTTAATATCTATAAATAAAATCCCGTGAGAATTATGAAATCTACTCAATTATGCACACGTTCCTGTGTGTGTATTACTAAGTTAAGTAGTATTATGACATTCTTTAATCTATTTTTATTCTGATTATAATAGTTTTCAATGGGTAGGTACTTACTACAAATATAAGAAACTGCTAATGGCAAATTAAATTATAATTGCTTGAACCCCCAAGTAACACTATTAAAAATATCACATGATCCTAAATATCACGACCAAAGCAGTCCCTATTGCATTACTGTTCTACTGAGACTAGAGAAACTATTTTTACTCTTGTAATAAGTGTTTGCAATGTTTGTTAGACCGTTTCACCATTAGCTAGTATGACTAACAACAATTATTAGGTGCAATATTCAATCCCAAGTAGGTAGTTTCTCTGAATGTCAAGTATTCTTAAATTATTCATTGTATATATCCAATAAAAATATATAATTAAGTAATTTTTATAATATTTAATGACTGAACAAGTTTGTAATTAAATCTTGGATACCGTTTTAAAATGCTATTGTATTAGAAAGTAGAAACAAATGTGTTATAAAATGGTTCATTATATAAGAATAATTTAATATTTCAATTTATTATAAAAAATAACTGAAATTTACGATGCGATTCAATCTACCTATATACTATGGAATAAGAAATCTTTATAAATAAACATTTATATACCGAAAATTCCCAAAATGGAAGTGACATAACAGACGTGATTCAGGCGTCTTGGCGCGTTGAATGACAGAAACAAACATAGGAACAAGTGTGCGCCTGAGTCGGCTATAAATATTTACGTTTGGAAACTTCAGGCCGACGACGGTCCGTCATACTGCGCGGGCGCATGTAAATAAAAGTATACTTTCTTATCTCCACCATGTGTGTGGTTGGTTGTTGCGCAAACGTTTCTAACTCAGTATTGTATTTAGAGTAAAATATTCCTTCAATACTTACCTACCTAAACGGCAGATAGGTAAAAAACGGGACTTTCAGGTGAATTATTAAAACAATTCACGTAATTCAAGTAACTTGAACGAATAGGTCATTAGGTATCTCTATATCAGCTATTTCTACCATTTAGGTTAGATAGATATGCTAGTATTTTTTTAGGTACGAAAACATAATACTCTAGCCCTTAGGAACACCGCACTTTAGAATTACCACACTACATTTGGTAGTGTCTGTAGGTTCATGTCTAGAAATTATTACCTACCATTTTCTATCAGGATTAGCTTCCCTGATAGAAAACGGTAGGTAATCAGCTTGTCTCTATTAAATATTAACTGTAAAATGTACCTACCTAATACCTATAAGTATTTCTTAGTCTATTAGTTATTTGTTATATGCACGTTAGTTAGATATAATGTTAAATTTATTCACTTAATTAGATAGGTATATATATGTAGATAAGTAGTTTAATGAATCAATATTTTAGCTTTGAAACTAGAAATGCATCGTGACTATAAGATATGTTCAATTATAAATTTTATAGCAATAATGTTAATAACTTTAACATAGAATTAAGTTGTACAGATTATATACTACCTATTGGTAGACACTTTCATTATCTTAATTAAGCGTAGTAAACGTTAATTTATCTAATTTATTGATACAAATTCTTAAAAGGATTTAGGTACTTATCGTATTATTTAAGATTTAGTTTCACTGCAGATAACATAAGATGTCACTAAAAGCTGTCTTGATTTCATTTGTTATAAATTAATTAATTCAAGAATGTATAAATAAACAGAGTACCTAATTGTTTAAGACTAAAACAGACTTAAATATATTCTTTCACGAGTTTGATTTAAGTAATTTTCCATTAAGTACCGCGTTTCTCCTAAATTTAATGTACTAAATATTAAATAAATCGTAGAGATATTTTACGGGTATGGTGTGAACTAAGGACCCGTTACCGGTTATACCTACGTAGGTAGGTAGATATTTATAAATAAATGATTATTATCGATCCACAAAAAGATTAAAACCAGATCAAACGAGGTTAAAAAGCTGTACTTTAATTTTGTTTCGACTTCCAAAGTATACACATAATCTTAATAATTTATTTTATATTTTTATATGAGTGACTTATCGATGAATTTCGTATGAGCATTCGTATACAAATTACGGTAAGACTTTAAAATATGTACCTACATGACCATTATGAGTATCTAAATACATTATAAATTACAAGACTTTTATCTATACCTATCGGATATACAGGTTATGTAGGTATTTTATTACAATACAAAGTAAGTTCACCAACCTACTTGATGTTATGCAAGCTTGCCAAGTCACCATTTGGTAAGCCTGTATAACGTCAAATTCAATCGTAAATAAAGTGACATAATACTATCAATGAAAACATTACTTATATTTTATGGTTCTATATATTTTGTTAGCACCCATTAAGAAAAGTTATATTATTTAAGTTCAAGAGTCACAGTGTGAGTTTTCAGGATAGCAATGAGATCATTAGGTTATAAATAAAATACTATATTAAATCTGAGTTCAGTTTTAATGAACTTGTTAATCTCAATTTTCTGCTAAACGAAATGAAAACACTATCTGCTGTTCATTTTTACTATGTTTTTCATTAATTACATACATATAAATACTTTAATAACAATATATAACCACATGTGGGACAATACCTACATCTAAGGGCCTGGGTGCAGATAACTAATAAATACGGGTTTATATTTATTACTAGGTATATTTTTAAATTGTCAATAGAATTATATTCACCTTGTCGTAAACTTGCGAGCGACGTCTGCGTAAAAGGGCACGGCAACCTGCGAACAATTATAATCCTGTATAATATAGTATAATATACAGCTATAGCTTACAATAAGGGACATAATTACATGTGGCGGGTCAGGTGTGTCCAATCAGTAAGTAGTAAAAACGTTATTGGAGTGCGCGCTTTATTAACATGGTTTCACATGTTAATTAATACGTTAATAGCAGACCTACGTGGTGGCTACTTATTATGTATGTTTAATATGTTGTGTATATTATTTTGTACATATTTTACTGGGTTTAACAGTTCTTGGAACTTATTGTGACAACGAGTGAAAATTAATGCTTTTCATTCATTCATTCGCAAGATTTTACACAACATAGTTTTATAAGAAATATTATTAACTTCGAGTATGAAAATTATATTTATTTACTATTTTTCACAAGAATATTATAAATTAAATAAATTTAGGTAGTTTATCTATTATTATATAATATAACCTAATTTACCTACTTCTAATATTTTCATTACATTTCTTTCTTTCCAATTATGGTAGTAATATTATACCTAGATTCGATAAGACTCAAATATTTGTCAATTCTTCTACTGACTTCTAAATAATAAAATATGTTTATCCAAATGTATTACATTTGCAGCAATCCAACTATTATTTTAATAATAGAAAACCTCATATTACCTATGAGTAGGTAATCTGTATTTATTATTAGTTTTTTTTTTGCAGATACTAATACTACTACATAACTTACTCGTATTACATACTAGTATTTTTAACAACTTGCTGCACAATAGTAATTTATTATTAAAATGATTAGTGAGTGAAAATTTTTATTAATAGATAAACATGAAAACGGTAACGCAATGTTTCAGAATAATGACGTGACTAACAAGCCACTGGAACTCGTACTAAATCATTGCTGAACATTAAACGTCTCAAGCGATCATTACTGAGTTTATTTTTAAGACGAGAGAGTCTGGCACACCCACAATCATCTCATTGACAAAGTTCTACAGTTACCATTTTATTTCCTAGCTCGAGCCTCGATACGAATATAAATAAATCCTTTCTAAGTCATTCGATACGGCGGAAAGTCACGAAGTTTACATAAAATAGGTGATTTGCGCCGAATGCCATGGTTTTTTTTACAGGGTGTAGTCGGGGGTGCGACGTTCCATCCACCTACTTTGGAGAACGAAAAAAAACATGTTTACAAGGTTTTTTTCTCGTTAACGATTGCTGGCTGGCATGGATACGTATTTCGGGATCGTAAATTCTGTTTTGTGTTACCTAACAATTATATGCGCTTCAGTAATGATTGATTTTGAACTGTTTCTACAAGAAAAAGCGTGTGACCCATGTTTATATATAATGATAATAGAGGCAGAATAATTTCTACACAAATTTGTATACTATACAATCTCTTATGAATTTTTTAAAATTCATAGTTATATTTAGGTACTTGTATTTAAGTAAAATGTTATCCTCTTTGGTAGTTACTACTTCTTTATCAAAATACATTTGTTTATTCATATTACGCTTTCAATTCTGTATACTCAAGTTGTGGATAGGTAGTGCATTTAATTAGAGATTAGGGGCTAAGACCATCTATCCGAGAAACTTGAGCCATAGCTCGGAACTTTGACGGCGTTCATCTAACTTTATTTCCATTCTAACTCGAAACTCCTATCAAGAATCGTAAGCCGGACGAACTTTACTGAACTATGTTTTTTTTCATCAAGCACGAGTAAATGGAGCAGAGAACCGATGGCTGAGGGCACTCGACTTGACATTTACGACTCAATTCCAAAGCAGAGGCCGCCGTCCGGGTGTGTTTTCTACCGGTTTAATTAGATCTCCCACTCCCCCCACTCAACCCTCTATAATCAAATCGAAGCTAACTATTAACACAAGTTTGGGGACCTTGTTAAGTTAGTCGGTAGTTATTTAGGGCGTAGTGACAGCCGAGTCCGGCCACATTATACCAAGTTGTCAAGTTCTGTTATCTTGGACACAAGTAGTAAGTACGTGTTACAGGAATGTCTCTCCCACGGTTGGATGCCCAAAAATTTACATAGTAAACGTTTCATCCCATAAGTTATACCCAACGCTTGCTTTAATTTAATTAATAAAGTTATTATATAGTTATTAATGTCCTTATTAAAATTATACGTTCAAAAATAAGGGATCATGTGTAGAGTTTAGTGTGAGGAATTATTGTTGATATACCTACTGTTATAACAAAATCATGTACTTATTCTAAAACTGTATATAGAATAGCACAGAATATAAAAACATAGATAATAGTGTACTACATAATCACATAGTATTTATACTTTACTTATAATGTGGGTAAGAATAAGAAGGTACCCCTATTCGATTTTCTTAAGTAGGTATTTTGCTACCATTCTAAAGACATATCTATATATATGTCTTAATATGGTTTATACAACAATATGAAACACTTATCATATTACCTACATATATAAAACAAACAAACAAGTCATAGGAAATGTTATTTGTATAGTATAACGACATATTTACAATAACAGGGAGTGGGAGGCGGTCCGAGAGGTTAATGGTGCGAAAACTGACTGGATCATATCCCGGGGTTTACGACACGAGAGTAAACGGCCGATTCATTTGCAATTCTAACTGCGACTTAGCGACGTATCGCCTGCGATTGTGCGGCGGTTCGATCGTCACTAGATTCAAACACTACATAATAAATACCTACACACCTTACTTATCGACGCCTGAAAGTGATAAGTGTAGTAAATAAGGTCGTTGCTTATCATTTCGTACTTATCCCATACCTATACTTAGTTGTCAGTTATACCTAAATATATTAACGGAATTTTCCGATAATTTTGTATTTAATATTTTCAGATCCATCTTTAACACGTATGTTGTTAATTATAAGTATACCTGTGTGTATAACAGTTACGGAAACTTTTCTATTAAATAAATATTTTTGTATATAATTTTAAAATGAAATTAGACATTACTTTACAAATCATCGACAAAACTGATGGATGAATATTACAGAAGGTGTATTCTTTAGGTGTATTTCTTTGTATTATTTTTGGTAACAATTCTTATTTTTTTATGTGATTACGGTAATATCGACTTTATTCATTTCATAAGTAAGTTCAAAATTGAAAGTACGTACTTATTTTAGTTTAATTGTGTACCTACATTATATACTCATTCCCAAATAGTGCCGGCCTATAGGTGGCCAGTCACACATTCTAAATTCACCTATTTAGACATCGATCGACCGGTGGTCCCACTTACTTAGTATTCGATCCATTCTCACAGGCTGATTTTATCGGCAAGGACACTTATTGTGATTCGTAAGGCCCGGAATTGATCGACAGAACGATACACAATGATCGTGGATTAAAATGTCTACGGAATTTCTATGACTCGTTTGCGTGAAAACTTTACATGAACGTAGACTACCTACCTACTGATGACGATATCAATGTAAATATTACTTGTTGTGTTATTGGTGTATTAGGGAAGTAATATATATAGACATTTCTTGTGTTCAAATAGTTTGCAACTGTTTATTTTTCTGTATTGAGAAAATAATTTTAATATTAAAATAAAGTAGGTACCTACCTACCGAAAATTTTAGTCACTTGAAATAATTGTACGACAATAAGGCATTTCAAATATAATGCATAGGTAGATATATAAATATTGGACATACCTATGTCAACTTTATATAGGTCTATACCTACCCCATATTTATGCTTTTATAAATACAGATAACTGATTAGTTTATTTCACGTGTAGACTTTTATTTGAAATATTAATAACGTAACAGTACATGGTTCAAGCCATACGTATGTACCTATAAACTCGTTATTAATAGCACGCAAGTACAAACGTGTACACATATATAGACCAGGTATGTACATATCTACATACACAGTTATAAGAGGCACCTTTACAGTGAAAACGTTAGATAAAACCTAATTTATAGGCTTTAGATATGATGTTATTTTATTTTTAATAATTTCATAAATATGTAAATAATTAGATATCTACTATCGAAACATGCAATTTTTGTGCCCAGCATTACATCCAGTAGTAGATAGTGAATGCAATTTGGTAGAACCTTATTATATATCTAACAACCGCAGTTATATTTCTCATAAAGGTTGAACATATTAGGTATATATATTTATGTAGTACTGTATACGTAAACAAAATTAAGTGACTGGGCAATGTGTGGTTCACTTTATATTGGTGTATTAACTTTAAGATAGAAGTTTCCACTATAATTTGAACTCTGTCTGTGATACGTTCTCCACAGTTGTAGAACTAACAATCGTCATTTTGTAGTAAGTATAAGCCAATCCTCGTTCTTGACAAGTAGGTACGACTTCAAAAGGAGTTTCTCTATTTATCTTAATCTTTTTGTTTAGATATGATATCTTCGGCTAATTTGATTTGATTTGATAATCATTATTGATGATTTTAAAATTTCAGGACTATGAGTATAATGTACGCATGAGAAGTAAGAATCTTTGTACATATATATATAGTTGATAAATGTTTTAATTATCTAAACTAATATTATGAATATAAAAAAGATTAGATACTTTTGATTTTCAAAAATTCATCATTATCTGCTAATAGCACTAGAGAACCCTACAATCATTGTAGGTCGTTAGTTATCTATATAAAAATAGTAATTTCATATTCTTTCCATTACTAACCATAAAATGATGACAGAGGATAAAAACCTTTGATTGTCGTTATAGGTAAACTTGAATTCCTCGAAGCGTTTTGCCATCAGATTAAAACGTCGCAGTGAATATCACAATCGCAAGAATGTTGCAACTTTGTAAAAAGGTTTATAATTTGCTGGACCATAAATTAAGGCATTGAATTAATATGACAGGGCAAGTAGGGTTCCGACGCACATAAGTCTGTAGGCACAGGTGTTTGGCGGCGATTGGGGTGTAGGTATACTTATATTTTAATTTTTATGTTATATTGTGTGCTTATTTTATGTTCATAATAAATACATATAAAATTTTAGTGTTCAAAACAGATAAGAGAAATAGGTTAGATCTTCCAGATTCATCATAATGCTTAATAGAATTAATGAACATTGTCTTTTAGTTTATAAATTAAATTGATACCTATAGTATTAATTATGACAAAATATTGTTTTATTTGAAGATATCTATGCCTAATTTATTTGAAATACCTAAATGTGAATAATAATGAGTTTGTTCCCATTTGACGGTTCAATTGGTTGTTGGGCATACTTAAATAAGCTCAGTTAGCTATTTGAGGTACAAAGGGGACCGACTACTTTTCTGTTTTAAATCGTCGCGGATGCAAACTAGTTATATCTTATAAAAATATCTCATAAAATTGTGAACTAATACGATTAATTTATACCTACCAAAATCTACTTAGTATTTAAAATATTTATATTGGCGTATTTAAAAGGAATATACATGTATTGTTTTCTTCGTTTTGGCGGTCCAAAGCTAAGTTTAAACGGACACAAGTGTACACGCAATAAAAATGTAAATGAGTACGTGGGCGATTGCACGCCGCTATTCAGGCACGTTTTGTCGTGAATGCACATATTATGCAGTATCATATCATGCCTACGGCCCTCTGCATTTTGAAGGTTGCCAGGTATACTTTGTAAGCTGTGCCTTTTATATTACTTTACCTACAAATGTAAAATTTACTTTATATTATAAAGCTGGAGATAAAATGGTACATAAATGGCGACGAATTAAAGTGCATATAAGAATTGTAATAATTATAATGAGTAAGTAAGTACCTATCTACTTAAAAAATAATTCCTACCTATCTACCTTAATCTGTACAAAAAGTATTGTGCTATCGAAAGTAAAATATTATTAGATAATACAAATTAAAATGCCTCTCGTTATAAAAAAGTAGCAATGTTAGTTGTGGTTATTGTATTCTTACTTAAATTCAACAAAATTACAATAAAAATTATAGTAAATAATTTGTGTTAAATAACAAAAAGGAGAGTGTGATATATGGGATTTAAATAAATTAAAAATAATGAAATAAAGTAGAAATTCAAACCTTAGTATCATGTTCTGTGTGGCGTCGCCGCCTCACCTGTTAGTAAGGTCGACCGCGAGTTGAGCCGCGCTCGAACCTTACTCGAAACAAGCCTGTAACAATACCATACAAATATTACTTACTTTCAAAGTAATAAGTAGATAGGTACTAGAGATATGTGGATACACTACAAAAATAGCCATTTTGAAACAAAATCAAAATCTTGTAATAGATCCAATAGGTATTGCCTACACCATTTTGTAATAGCTAATTACTAATATTTCAAGTATTACACATAAAAATCCCGTTGAATGTTATAAAATAAAGGACAACAAGAAATAATTCCAGTTTTATAACGGTTGTGTACGCCTAAAGGTACAATAATATTTACAATGTTTTTTTTATTAAATTATATAATAAAAAACTGCATTGTAAATAACATATTTTTATTACCTACTTCAAAGATTTCGATCAGTGTCTTACATTTTCGTAGTGAGCCTTGTGGATGCATAAAATCGATTTGAATCGATATAATTTTAAGAAAGAACAATGTTACATTCAGTGACGCCTACATTTTACCCACAATGTAATTTAAATGCATAAATTACAGTAATAAATAAAGTAAACACATTTTTCGAATTTAACTACGCAATAAAATAAAACAAGCTACCCTTTTTCTCACTATTATCCTTGGTGGCACACGTTATGTATTTGTTAATTGAATTTATTTACTGGAACGGCGCGGCGTTGTAATTATTTAATACAACCAGTGTTACCAACTCTAAAATCCTTAGTATCTTAGTATTATGACTCGTTTTTGTAGGTCTCGTACTGTTGGCATCTCTGACCGAAAATATTTACTTTTCCATTATAAATCTTATAAAACTGCACGGAAAATGCCTACCTGCCATTCATAAAATTCTTTTTCCAGATATATATGTAGCTATGATAAAATAGAGTTATATAGGTACTACAGGGTGCTGAAAATGATTGAAAATTTTACTGCCGAATAGGTACGAACATATATTTTTTATTATTTTTAGCAATATGAATAACTGGTGTTATATATTTTATAAAGCGGTACCAGGTTCACCTAATTTCGTTTCAGCGGAAAATTCAATGAATAAATATTTTCCAATTTTATTGTCTCAGTTCTCTCAAATGAATATTCTGAATCACATTGAAATATCCGAAATGTCACAATATTTATAATATAATTCGTTATTGCATATCACGTATCATACAAAGCACAGATTATTTTTCTATTTTATATTAAATGTTATACATTTTCATAATTTTCCTGTGAATTTCAAAATAAATTCAAAATGGAATTCTAAATTTATAAAGAAACTGCTACCATTGAAGCTGACTTTCTAATTGTCTACCAAACATATAAACTACCTAGATAGGTACATCCAGTTATCTTCAGTAAAAATAAATATTAATGTAAAAAAAAATTATAGGTTCTTTTATTTTTTATTTTGGTTATTTGTCAACAATTACTACATAATACCTATTTACTTCATTTTCTACAAAGTACACAAATTCTTACATCCTGTATATTAAAAGTATACGTGGAGAAAAATCTTATATTTTAGAACACAAATAAATTATTCCTGCACACCCACTGAGTTGTATTCGTTGAGTAATATATTGTATACACGTGAATTTATTAATTTTATGACTCCTTTACAACACTTAAGAATGATGACGTTCTATATGTATATATAAGATTCACTACAATTTCAATATATATATATTTATAGAAGTAGGATATACACTTACATAATCTATAGTATATATTAGCTATGGCCGCGATTATCGTACACGTATAACTTATTCGTGTGTTAACCCATTGCAATAAGACAACAAATAAATGAAAAGTGATGCGTAGGTACTACAATATATTAGTTACAACCTTAAAACCAACCAAATGGGTTAAACCGTTCAAAGATTAGCGCGCACAAATACACACATACAAACAAACAAAATTTCTAACAATTATTGGGTTTCAATAAGTCCCTAAATAATAGTTTTTTCACATACATTTAACTCCTAAGTACCTACAGCGATCAGTTACGTTTTTATAATATATATAGATAAATAAATAGGTATTTTTATTACCTTCTTAAAATAGTAGTAGCTCAGTTCGCATACAAATCGTCCTAATTAACGTTGTAAATTAGCTGAATTGGCATTTCCATAATATGTCCTCTGACATAGCGTCGGCGACTTATTTAAAAAGAAAAAATAACTTCATTTGATATGTCTGATATAAACTATTTTAACATTTATATCTTTATATGTTTTAGTTTTATGAGTTAATTTTGTTTAATTAGCCCAATGGTATGAATAATACATATATAGGTATATATGGAGAAAATTAGATTCCATGAACATGCAATGTTGTATATAGGAGAGATGAGGTGGAAATAATTAAGGCTATAGCCGGGGGGAAGGAACTCTCCTTATACCAATAACCCCAGAACAGCGCCATCTAGTTTCAGGCTAAGCAGGTACTAGACACCTGACATAAATACGTACATGCATTTTTTTAAAATACATAAGTACATAATATACATAGAAACCATTCAGTCGAATACAAACAATCATGCTTTTACAAATATTTGTACTGTACAAGCAATCGAACCCGAGACTATCGGAACCAAGGTGGTGGCTAAACCACTAGGCCGAGGCCGTCAATAATATAATTATAATGTAATATATATTGTCTATTATTTTATGGTTATTGTTTTGTTTTACACCTGTCATATAATTAGTATGTATTGAAGATCCGAAAACGATAGTCTTGTTGGTCGTTTTATTTAATCACTATCTAATTACAATACGGTCCCGTATACTTTCAACTGTTATTACAAATATCTGCCAAAAGATAGATAGGCCTATTAAAAAGTAGTACTGAAAATATCCCTATATATATTCCAAAATTTGATATCAACACTTCCAAGTTCCATTAGCGTATATACAATAAGCGTACACCCCCCAGAGAAAGCTCTAGAAATCTCAGCAATAAATACCCACAAGCGAGAAATTTATTTTTATCGTTTGTACCACTTAAGGAATAAGATTGAAAACTGCTCCCGATATTCCCCGGTAATTTGTCGTATTTTTTCTCTGGGGTCATAAAATATTTACGTTGTTCGAATGAATTCACGAGTGGATTTGTGAGCGTCCTCGTTTACCGCCCCGATATTAATTCATTTTCATGAATAAACAATATTCGAGATTCTTTGTTAAGTGCACTTAGGTACATATTTAGTGAAATACATTTATGGTAGGTATTAACTACACGTAGAATTAATTGTATATTACCTACAAAAAAAAATATTGTTTTTTCCAAGTGAATTCAAATAAAAGAATCATATATTGATATTCAAATCAAATGTCATCCCAATTTCTCTTTTTTTGTTATCATAAAATATGTAAAATTACGGAACAACTGTTACCACGTACTACACTTTCTTTCGTATAAAAACATGAAATCATAAAAAATATATAAAATGAAAATACAAGGTAAGTACATATAATGTATATAATTTATTAGGGCGGTTAACATTTGGCATAACGACATTCCTACCTACTAATAAGTACGTGGTTATGCAAAAATTCAGTGCGACGCACTCGTGTATTTCTGGGAAATGCAACAATATCAGTGATCTCGTTGTCCAGTCGTTACTCGGCGGATGCAGCGATGCACTCACAGATACGACTGGCTCGAATCCACAAAACGCCTACATAACTTGTAGCGTTGTAATGGAACAGGTTATATACAGCCTTGTATAAAATTGTCTCATAGTGCTATAAGTACTTTACATCTGATTCATAACGTATGATAGAATCTCTTTTGAAAGCTATACAGGTAAATACCTAAAAAAACGAGACGTTCACTTAATTAATATAGTTCAAAATAGAAGATGAAGTTAAAAAACAATACCCACTTAAAAGTAGGTATAAATTAGATAAATAAACAATTTTTGAAGATTGTCGTCCAGTCCTAGACTGACTAGAACTTTTACTATAAATACCAGACATATATAGATGCTTGAAGGTATTTTGTTTGGTTAAATATATACCTACTTAATGTAATATTCGCAAATTAAAATATATTTAAGTCCTATATATAAATGTTTAACTTGTGCGAGTATTGAACGTATATCAAAAACGTCCATCAAAAAGTAAAGCAGTGTAGTGTATCACTAGAACAAAGAGTTGGCCAAGCACTGTCATTAATAATCAAGCAATATAATAATGTCAGTACTCAGACATTCATGATAAGTATAACCCGGTACCTTATTATCTCTTTATTATTATTGGTTAAACAGAAACCCAAATTGAAACACGAATCTCCATGCAGATATAACGTGTTCATGACACGAAGAAAACAATTACGAATAAAAACAACTTTATAACTCTGAACTTGACATTAAAGCTATGTTTTGTGACATCTGTGGCACTCTGTAACGTGTAGTACACACTGGCGTGATACGAATAGGGTCAGACTACACTATCTGAGTTTTAAGTCGACGCCTTTTGAAAAATTGTCGGTTCTCGCCACTCTTCCGCCGTAAAAGCGCTAATGTAGAGTCAAGTCTGGAATTCTAATGATTTTTCTAATGGTAAATTGATTGTCTAATATGGTGTGTGTATACTTTATACCTATATATGTATATCTACACAAGATGCATTATGCATTGAAGTTTCCTAAGGGTATCCCTTAGGAAACTTCAACTACAATGAAATAAAGTAAATAAGTAGTGTATCACGCAGTATTGTGTATTCACGAGCTCATAGCACTTCATTATTATAAACATCTTCATCTAGGTATAGTAAATTTACCTATAGATATGCATACAATTGATACTGTAGGTATTTTATAGAATTCACTGTTAATACATGTCGCCGAAGGCAACCTTTTTGATACATTTTTTAATTTTATATTTTGACGTTCTGTTTTTATATTCCGATTGTTTTCTAATGCCATATTCCTTCTCTTTACGTTTTTGCTAGCGAACTGAATACACATATTTTATCTCGGAGCGTGTCTCATTTTAAACCAGCTTTAATACAGTCCTTCCGTCACAATATATATTAA